AGGGAGCAAGTTCAGCTCTTACCTCCCACCATGACCTATGTGTGATGGCAAGTTCAGCATTCAGGGCTGCAGGCAGCTGGAGCAGGCAGGCGGCTGGAGCAGGCAGCTGCCGGCAATGGGGACAGCACAGGTCTGAGCACCGGCGCAGGCAGCACTGCCGGGAGGATGCTGACGGCCAAGGGATGGGAGCCTTGGGACCAGTCCTGCTGAGGCGATGGCTGGGAGAAGCACCCATCCCCTGAGGACACTGGTCCTGAGTAACTCCTGGCAGACACTGTCCAGCCAGGCTGGCAAGCATTTAAATCAAACGGGAAAAAGCCATTCCTTCTCTCGAACGAGGGTCCGCACGAGCACTGCGGCAGCGTAATTATCCTGGTGTGACTTTATCAGTCTAATTACAGCCAGGCGGTTGGTAACACCTTCCTGCCTCAACAAAGCCCTGCCAAGACAAAGCCAGCCAGAAAGCAGGCAATTAAGGTGTAGTCAGACATCGTAATCGGATTAAATCAGGTTTTACAGTTCCCACCGCCTCAGCTGGAGCTTCCCGTCTCCCCCCCAAGCTGCTGGTGGCAGCGCCTGCGCCCACAGTCGGGGTGTGGGGACCCCGGGGGACCCCGGTGGCTCTGCTGCTGTCCCCTGCACTGCTGGGCTCTCCCAGTTCTCTTCATTAATGGGCATGGCTAAGTTGCTAACAAAGGGCAATTTGTCCTCCTATTTGATGGTTTTATTTAGCACTGTACCCTGAAAGGGATGGTGTTTACTTGAGCTGGTTTCCCCTTTTCTTTTGGCTTTGTGAAGCTGGATCAGAGGAACGTGGAGGGTTCACTCCTCAAAAAATACTGGTTTCCTCTTGTTCCTCATTAATGGAGACATACCAGGCGTATTTTTTCAGGTCTCTCTTGACTTTGCTGGAGGATGCTCTCAAATGAATATTTCAGAGCTTTGATTTTTACTTAAAGGGAGATGAATATTGAATATTTAACAATGTCCTTTTTATCCACTGCTTTTTCAGCACTGGAGTGAACTAGGTGTTAAAAATCAATACAAACCAG